CCTCGATATTGTCTGCAACCAAGCCCTTGCAGCATTCAGTTACATGGCTTTTGTGATGCATCAATCAGAGCATATGGTTGCTGCTTGTACATGCGCACAGAAGACGCAAATGGACACATTAACGTGCACTTGATGACTTCAAAATCAAGAGTAGCACCAGTGAAAAAGCAGTCGCTTCCAAAACTGGAACTATGTGGTGCTCACTTGTTAGCTGAATTGTACAGCAAGACAAATAGCATATTTAAACATCGAACCATTACATCATACTTTTGGTGTGACTCCCAACTCGTTTTGTATTGGCTGCAACAACACTCAACTACTTTGTCCACGTTTGTGGGAAACAGAGTATCTGACATTCAGGAATTGACTTCGGATGGCATTTGGCGCTACGTTTCGACTCATCACAATCCAGCTGATCTTATATCTCGAGGCTGCCGCGTTGAAGAATTGAGAGCCTCAATATGGTTCACCGGTCCCGCATTCTTACGCGACCATCCGTCACAATGGCCAACCAAAAGGAAATCATTTGATGTCGACATAAATATTGTTAACTCGGAGAAGCGCAAAACAGTGTTTACCGCTATAAGGGACACAAACTACATACTGGAGGTCATCGATAAAATAAGCTCACATACTCGCACTATTCGTCTCATCGCTTGGATGATTAGATTCACAAAGAAATGCAGAAAGCAATCAATAGCATCGACAATTGTACTCTCGCCAGAAGAACTTCGATTCGCGTCGAACTGCATAATTTGGAACATTCAACAAACTCATTTCGCAAATGATATTCTCGCACTTCGGAAACAGAAACCATTAAAAAACAACTTGAAATTTCTCACTCCTTTTTTAGATTCGTCGAGTAGCTTTGAGCTGATCAAGGTTGGTGGGCGACTGGACTATTCGGAGCTACCAGATAGACAAAAGCATCCATTGCTGCTGCCCAGTAGTTCGCATTTCGTTTGGAACTATGTTCGTCATCTGCATCTTCAGAATTTTCATGCGGGCCCTAAGGCATTAGTCGCGCTAATTCGCTTGGAGCACTGGATTGTCAACGCTAGAGACTTGGCTCGGCGCATCGTCCGTTCCTGCATCCATTGCGTTCGCTACAGGCCCAAATTATTACAGCAAATTATGGGATCGCTGCCACCGACACGTCTCACACCTGGTTTCCCATTTGAACGCTGTGGGATCGATTTTTGTGGACCTGTCAATACATATGTTCGAATTCGAGGAAAGGGTCCTACTAAATCATATATAGCCATATTCGTCTGCCTTCTCACAAAGGCTGTTCACATCGAACTAGTATCAGATTTGTCAACCAAGTCGTTTATGAATGCCTTGAAACGAATGGGAGGACGACGCAAAATGCCAACAGATATATTTTGCGACAACGCTACTAATTTTGTCGGAGCTTCTAACCAGTTACATGAATTAAAGAAATTCATGTTTAAGAAGGAGACTCAAACGGAAATTCAACAATTTGGTGCGTCGGACTTTATTAATTTTCATTTTATTCCACCCAGGGCACCCCATTTTGGCGGCCTTTGGGAAGCTGCAGTGAAGAGCGCCAAGGGTCTTCTAAATCGCACATTGGCGAACACGAGGTTCACATTCGAAGAGCTGAGCACCGTCGTTGTGGAAATCGAAGCCATCCTCAACTCGCGCCCTCTGTCACCGCTGTCATCAGATCCAAACGATTACAGCGCACTGACTGCCGGACATTTCTTGGTCGGAGACTCACTCCGCTCATTGCCTGAAAGATCATTAGAACCATGCAACTTGTCTAATTTGGATCGGTATGACATGATGACCGCTATTAAGCAACGATTTTGGAATCGCTGGAACGCCGACTACATAAACGAGCTACGAGCTCGTACTAAGTGGACGTCAACGTCACCGAACTTAACTGAAGGAACGTTGGTAGTTGTACACGAAGACAATCTGCCCCCGCTTCGATGGAAATTGGGTCGCGTTGAGTCAACCGTGATCGGAAGAGATGGACGAATTCGGGTGGTGCACCTACACAAACTAGCGATACTACCTGCTTGTTGAAAGGGTCCTTTCAAAGGGGCCGGGATGTTGGGTCAAACTAGCCACACTCGCAGTTAAATAACCTTATAATTACTAAACCCTATTATACTAGCATAATTGTCAATATCTATTGGAAATATTCTCATGTCACAATCAGTCAATTAACCCTCGCAACTGCAAATATCACTTCCCTCTTTATTATTTGTACGTCCTACATTCTTACACTTAAATTAACCACACTGTAAGTTGAACTCTAAAGCATCAGTACGAAAATACCAATAAACAGTTTGTAATCAACTCTTGAAGAAGAACCACTGTCTATCGCGTACAAGTCATTTGGTTATGTGTCAATTGCATTGTTATCTATGTTCAAATTAATTCACACACCGCCCAGACCTGAAGTTTCATGTTGGCAAGGAAAACGCTCCTTGACACAACAGACATGATACAGGAAAATATGGAACTCGATATAAATAATGACGTCAGTGAGTACGCTAAGCACGAGGTGCGCGAACTAATAATGAAATACAAGCCAGACAAGCCGAAAACAATAAACATTGAAATGAAAATTGTTCTTAAAGATGATACACCAATTTTTTCACGTCCCCGTAGATTTTCAATTTCAGAGACACGCATTATAGATGAACAAGTAGACGAGTGGTTGCGAAATGGCGTAATTGAAGAGTCCGATTCAGAGTATACTAGTCCTGTTGTACTTGTAAAGAAGAGCGATGGTACACCACGTCTTTGTATCGACTACAGACGTATTAACAAGGTAATGTGCAAAGATCATTTTCCACTACCACTAATAGACGACCAGCTAGACCGCTTGCAAGAAGCGATGATATACAGTACGATTGATTTAAAAAATTGATTTTTCCATGTACCAGTTTCGGAGTCTAGCAAAAAGTACAATACCAGTTTTGTAAGGTGCCGTTTGGTATGACGAATTCACCAAGCGTGTTCCAGCGGCACATCAATGCGATTTTTCGACCATTAGCACGCCAAGGTATAGCATTGCCCTACGTAGTAAATAAATATTAAATAATAAAATTAAATGCGATATTTCGAAAATATCGATACTTGTGTTGATATATCGTAATAAATGTCGAATACATATACATCGAAAAACATCGTTTGAGAGTTATTGATTATAATACTGTATTCGATTGTTCACTGTACACTGTAACGGGTATAGGACATATCCCAGTAGAGTAGGCGAGGTGGTGTGTGTATGTTGGAGAGCGCACGCACGCCATGATATTTACAGAAGCCCGCTCTTTGCTAATTTATCTCCCTCCCTTCACTTGAAGGAGGCAAAACAGGATGCAAACCTGTAACTCTGGATCATGTACTTCATTTTCACAATTCAGCTTCAGCCGTCTGGTTCTGGTTCACAGCCCCCTGCCCACTTGCAATCATTTTTGTCACGCAGTGCGCTTGCCGCTATTTCGCCATCCTTGTCATCAGAGCCTACCCATAATCTCATTTCGGATGTTGTGCTCCTGGTTACTGCGGTTACAAGTGTAAAAAAAGCAGACACCTGGGTTCCTTGTCGTGCACTGCTAGATGCTGCATATAATCAGCTTTCGGTTTGCGCATCACTTGCAATTGCGAAAAACAAAAAAGTCTACTTCAGTGTCAGGTTAAGGTGACACTAATTTCGTTTCTGATGGATATGTTGTAAAACTTTGCTTGAAATCTAATTCATCAGATTATTCTACAGAAGTTTCTGCGCTGGTTGCTCCTGCAGTCACAGAAAATCAGCCTAACATGACCAAATGGAACATTCCTAGCAACATACGGCTAAATTTGGATGGGTAGTTTCTGGAGGTGGCTCCCTACATAAACAAACAATTTTGGTTGCAGCAGCACACAAATCAGTTAAAGATGTTGATTCTACTACACAAATAGAGCATATGGTTCGCAGTTTTTGGGAGCTTGGACCGGCCATTATCAAGTCGTCAAACACACAAAGGAGGAACTTGATTGTGAAGAGCATTTTAAGGCTAATTGCACTCGCCTGTCTACTGGCGAATATTCTGTTCGTTTGCCAACCAAGCTTGATCGGAATCCATATTTAAAGGTTAAATATTCGTCGTTAATTCAAGAGTACCTGGACTTGGGACATATGTTCAAAGTTGCAACAGAATCGCTAGCAAATTGTGAATATTTCCTGCCGCCTCATTGCGTCCTCAAAGAAGACAGCAGTCAACAAAGTTGAGGGTCGAGGTTGCATCCTATGGCGGAATTCGTCTCAAGATAATCTACAGGCTCATTAACTGGATACTGTTACTTATTGTACAAAGCCTGCATCTTTTTTGTCCGTTCGCGTTATGCATCAACTTGCTGCAGACGAGCAGACTTCGTACCCTATTGGCTCTAAGATTTTGCGTCGGGACTTCTACGTAAACGATCTTATTACTGGTGGAGCATCCGTAGAAGAAGCTCTCGAAATCATACGGCTGTAACGTTCTTACTCTGCCGCGGGTATGCTCGCCGGCCAGAGTATGCTGAAATAAATTAGGCACCCCAAAGTGCCGAGGTGTCCAACAAATAAAAGAGGGCGGTGCCCCAAAACTTCTCCACGTGTTTCTTTAATATTCTTAAAATAAGAAAACTCAAACTGCCCGCGCTTCAGTGCGTGTTGGCCGAAAGCAAAGAACAAACTAAAACTAAAACGAACTTAAAATTACTTGCCTTCATGGCTTACTGTTCTTACAATTACTTGTTCTTATGACTACTCGTAATGACGCGCGGCTGCCCGCTATGCAACGCGTCATTACACGTCCCCCCTTCCTGAGCGGGGCACGTTCCTCCTTCCTGAGCGGAACACGATCCGGTCGAGGGGGGTGGCTGCCAACGCCACCATCGGAAGCCTTCCTTCTTCAGTCATCCGTCGCAAGCCATGCGCCTCCGCCGGTGTAAACATCGCCCACGCAAGGGGCTTGGTGGAGCCGTCGCACCTCTCCAGCACCACCATCGGCTGCTCGCTCGCTGTGCCATCGGGCTCTCGGCCCCACGCCATGAACACTAGCCAATAGACATGCGGCTGTACCACCTGCGGCCCCACTGCATGCAGCCGTTTCAGCTCCTGCAAGCATCTGGCGTATATCAGACGCGCCTCCACAACTCGCAGGGCTACTTCCACCCGCTGCTGCTCCTCGCGCTGCTCGCGTTGTCGCTGTTCCCGACGCCGCAGCCTCTCAACGCGCTGCTGCTCTTCCAGACGCGCCTGTTGTGCCCGTTGGCGTTGCTCTCGCTGCTGTTCATCTAGTTGTGCCTGCTGCATCCGTTGGCGTCGCTCTCTCACTCGACGGCCCCCCCGGTGCCCACGGCGGCGACGTCGGTTGTCTGCCGGCGTTGGTGAGCTTGCGGGCGCCCGAAACTGGCAGTTCCGGGGGTCCCGGTCGAATGCCATCTGTTCCTGCAGCCTGCACCACTCTTCTAGATCCTTATAGCCCTTTATCGCGTCCATGTTTCGTTTTTTTTTCCCCCTTTTGCCTTATGTTGTTTTCTCCAATTTTGCCGTTCGACACGCCGGTCCCCTCGTGTAATGCTGTTGTGCCAGCTGTTTGATTAGCGCTGCCACCTCTCGCGGTTTGCCAGTGCTACCCATGCCCGACGGTCTGTCGTCGGTGTTACCACTCGCAGCGATAGTGGTCGGTGCTTCCACTTATCGCATCTCCACGATAACTCGTTATCGACGGCCACCTGTCGCTCTGGTAACTCGACATCACCGCCCACATGTTTATGTTATGCTTGGTTTCCGGTCCTGGGCTATTTCAGGCCTGAAACGTAACAACAAGTTTTGTCTAATTATGTCTTATGCTCACATGGGTGTCCTCCTCGGCCAGAACGGCCACTTTGCCGCTCCCGCTTAAGTAGACACCCGTTGCATTGCTGTTGTTGCTGTCTGTGTGACCAATAGGGCCCTGGCTGCTGTAACTGCTGTAACTGCTGTCTTGGCTGTCGTGCGGCTGTTGCGACCGCGGCTGCTTTCGTCGTGTTCGTTGACATGGCCGATCTAGTTGCCCGGACTGCCGCTGCGTCTGCGGAGATTGGTGCTGTGGCTGCTGTGAAGCTGTCGGTGGCGTGGCCCTGGTGACCATACTAACGCTGCCTCTGTCGTCGCTGCCTTCGTCGGCTTCGCTGTCTTCTGCATTCACCGCTTTTAGATCCCGCACATGTGCCGTTCTACCTCTGCCGCCCGCTACTGGTCGCACACGCACTATCACTGGGGATATGAATGCCCGCACCGTGAATGGTCCATCGAAGCGAGGCGCCAACTTGGCCGCAAACTGCTCGGCTGCGTTGGACAGGTGATGTTGTCGCACGATCACCTCGTCGCCCAGTTTGGGTCGCCACTCGCGTCTCCGCAGATTGTACTGGCGCGCCTGATCTTCGCTGGCCACCCCTTGGTTTCTTCTTGCTATGCGGGCAACAAACTGTAGCAGCGTTGCGTGTGTTTCTGGGCTACCTGGTGCTGCCTCAGGGGCATCAGGATCCCTGCCGTACAGTGTGTGTGGACGCCGTGGTTCTCTCCCAAATAGGATGAAAGCCGGTGAGTAGCCCGTTGCGTCTGAAATTGCTGTATTAATGGCCAATTGTGCTTCTGGCAGTTGTTCCCACGTGTGTAACGTTGTTACTCGTTACACCTCCCCCTTTCCCCAAGGGGTCGAACGGCAGATGTGTAGTCTGGGTCGCCACTCGCGTCTCCGCAGATTGTACTGGCGTGCCTGATCCTCGCTTGTCACCAAGGCTGCATGTCGGGCTCTGCGATTTCGCCTCCGCCGTCTGCGTGGCCGTGGATCGTTTGGCCGCCCACAGTCACCGCCCCGTTGGCCATTTGGACATAATCCAGTCCCAATGTGAGCTCATCTATGCATCCGGGGAGTGTGAGCAGCGGCAGTACTACGCGACTGTCGCCCACCGTGACCGTCGCCTTCGTTTCTTCACGGACCGTCTTCTGTGCCCCGTCAACCATGGACACAGTCACGCTCACGGACCGTACATTTCCTCCGTCTGGCGCCCGCAGACGTTGCGCCAGCCTCGGACTCGCGAAGCTGCGTGTCGCTCCGGTGTCCACGACCGCCTCTACCAGTACACCATCGCAGTCTACTGGTAGCGCGGCCGCTACCCTGCGTGTCGTTGTTAATTGGAATTTGCCTGCGTGGGCTCGCCGACTGTTGATGTGGGACGAGCCCCCCTGGCGTTTCCCGTCGCGCGTCGGCAGCATTCGATCGCACGCACCCCCATCTTACCACAGTCCCAACAGTAGAGCTGTTGTGCCCTCCCATCCCGCAACGTCTGCAGATGGGTGGGCGACGATGCGTGTCCGCTGGGCCAACCGCCACCGGCTGTGGGATCGGCGTAGGGTGTGTGGCGTTCGTCTCATCATTGCCGGCCGCCTGTGACCGTGCTAAGATTGCTTGGTGCACGCCCTGTGCCGCCTGTACGTACCCATCGAGTGAGCTCACTTCTTCGCCTGCCAGGCGGAGATTGGGGCGTATTTCTGGTAGCCCGTTGGCGTGGACAAGTCTCAGCTGCTCCTCTGCAGTCATCTCCGCGCCGCGCATCAGTCGTTGCATCGCTCGGACATACTCGATAGGGCCCTCTGATGCGCCCTGGACCCGGCTGTATGCTTCCCGCCGGCGCTCTTCTATGTGGGGACCCGCTGGATATTCTTTTAGTAGGTCTTGGCGGAACTCGGCCCACCGTTGTACCAAATTGCGCCTTGACCACTCCCACTCCTTCGCCTCGCCAACCAGGACTTCCGGTAACACGGTCACCAACTCATCTAATCGCACGTTCCTCATCTCTGCCTTATCTTCCAGATCCCGGAGGAACGTTCTTGGGTCCCCGCTGCCGTCAAATCGGACGCCCCACTGGGCTACCTGTGTCGACAGTGCGGCTCGTCTGTCTCGTTCGGCTAATGTTGGCGCCTGTGGTCCTGCCACCGCCTGCGCGCTTGCGAGCGGTGACGCTGGAGTCGGTGCTGTTGGGTTTTCTTCGTCAGGCGCATTACCGGCAGGCGCGGTGGAAGCGCAGACCTGGCTCGACAGTTTCTGGAAACCATCCTCCATAGCCTGGGCCAACCGGTGGGTGTACTGAGCCAACGCGACTGTCACCGAATCGGCAATCGCTTGTGTCAGGTCCGCCGTTGAGAGCACTGGAGCCACTGTTGGCGTCGCTGAGGCTGCCGTGGGCTCGGTTGTGGTAGCTCCCGCGACCGCTACCGAAATGGTCGGCACTGTCGCAGGAGTTAGCGGTGTCGTGTTTGCCTCTGTCACGACGAGCAGCCCCTCCGGTACGTCCTCTTGTTTCGGGACTCCCAGCCGTCCGCCGGGCACCGGGCTCAACTGACCTGTCGCCGCGGTACGCGACGTCATGTTCTCGTAATACGCCGCTAGTTCTTCCAGGCGGGGTCGGTACTCTTCTTGGGCCGACTTCACGAACGTTGCCAGCCGCACCCGCAAAGCCTCCACGGTGCCGGTCTCCTCGATGTCGAACTCGCGCAGCACCGTGCTGAGCTCTTCCTTCCGCAGCACACGTATCCAGCTCGTTCGTAGCATCGTAGGTCCACGCTCTCTTCCCTACTTAGTCGGATCTAACCTCACACTTCTTTGGGGTCCCTGCTCGGGCGCCACTTGTAACGTTGTTACTCTGCCGCGGGTATGCTCGCCGGCCAGAGTATGCTGAAATAAATTAGGCACCCCAAAGTGCCGAGGTGTCCAACAAATAAAAGAGGGCGGTGCGCCAAAACTTCTCCACGTGTTTCTTTAATATTCTTAAAATAACAAAACTCAAACTGCCCGCGCTTCAGTGCGTGTTGGCCGAAAGCAAAGAACAAACTAAAACTAAAACGAACTTAAAATTACTTGCCTTCATGGCTTACTGTTCTTACAATTACTTGTTCTTATGACTACTCGTAATGACGCGCGGCTGCCCGCTATGCAACGCGTCATTACACGGCAAACAACAGGTCTGTTGAAGAGGGGAAAATTCATGCTTCGTAAATGGTGCTCTAGCGATCCAAATGTTTTAATGGAAATTCCCGATGCCGACAAAGAAACACTTTTAAAATTCGATGACGGCAGCGATATCGCTAAGACACTCGGCCTTGCATGGGATCCTGCGTCAGATTGCTTCATGTTCTCGTTTACTCCCATTCAGTCTGTTACTAAGCCTTGCAAGTGATCCGTACTATCTACTATCGCACGGTTTTATGATCCGCTTGGTCTCATCGGACTGGTAATTGCAAAGGCAAAAATATTCCTTCAAACGCTTTGGAAGGATATATTGTAATGCAAATTGGTAATGCATAGTTCAAACTGCGAGCTTGGCGCTCAAGTATCGATTTGCACTTATCGATACGCCCCCATGTGCCACATATCAACAGCGGTTTGTTACAAGATCCATGCTACCGCAGCCAACTTCAAGGCTTCAACCACAACTAACTTTAAGGAGTTGCTGTCTTCCTGGTGTGAGCTGGACCGACACGGTTGTGTTCTCCGCTGATGCGGATCTTTTAAGCATCTCCATATGTGCAAATTAAATCCTTAAGTATTTGGGCCATCTGCCTGTTTTGATCGCCATTGAAGGCTAATAAAGTGAAGTAAATGAAAGCTGAGTTGAACGGCGCAATTATTTCTTTGGCGCTGCTGTTAACTCTTTGAAAGTGGGCCCTTATCTGACAAGCGTCGACGAGCGCCTCCGCTATACAGATTTGTGCTGCAGCTACTTCGCCAGCCGCCATGCGGCCGGTCCCTGCTGCTTTACACACCTGCGCGAGACTCTGGAGGATTTTGCGCTGGATCTGGAGCACTTGGCGCAAAGAGCGTTCGGCAGCGTACCTGAAGCGCTGCTTGATTTGACAAGGAGTTGAAGGAGTTCGTGAGTCGGCTTTGCTAAGCACCTTGGCCGCGCAAGGGCCCCGCGATCTGGCGGAAGCCCTCGGAATAGCTAATCGGGTGTACACTCAATGCATCCATAAGACAAGTAAGCCCATATTCCAGGTCGAGCAAAGTAGGCCACCAGTGTTGATACCAGCACGAAAGAGACGTCCCCGGAAAGGTAAACATGAGGCTGCCCAACCGCCTCGAGGAAACTCGGCGGGAAATGTGCGGATGCCAGTTCTCTGAGGTGAGAATTGGCATCTTTCATCAGCGCCTCGCCCGTATCGCAGCCGCCGCCAGTTGATGTAAAACCTATCATCGTCGATGCTTCCGTTCCTGTAGTAGGCACTTCCCTAGCTCCTGTGTCAGACAGCATCCAGGAGAAGGAAAGCGTATTGGCTGCACTTTTCCGAGAGGCCCACGAGGTCAACAATAAGGCAGCTGGCGAGACGGAAACTTCCAGTCAGACCGTCGAGTATCAGGCACCAGCTTCCGTGGCTACGACAAGCGACACACCAAAAGTAGCTTCAATTCTATTTCCAGTCTATACGCAAGGCAGCCAAAGCCTGCACTTCGTCGT